CCAATGTTTTCATTATTTTCTTAAGATATGTGTGAAATTAAACAACTGAATAGCTTACTACCTGTGAGAAAAAACATTAATTATTTTAATAAATTTGATTGAGAATAAATGGGACCAGATTTGGATGGTGAAACCAAATGCGAATTGAATGTGTTCCCACCAAACAAGCTTTCTTCCCATATAATTCCCCCGAAATTAAAGTTTTTTTTCGAATGCTGACACAAAATTTAGTTTACCTTTTAGAATATAACTAAGACAGTTCACAATCTCAAACACAGAATAAGACAATATTGCTCATAATCATGAACACCAAGTCATAGTATTTTTTTTTCCATATATATTTCTAGTCCTTTTGCAACAATTTTCATATAATTTACAACAAGATTAACCATGTTGAATAGATATATACACTGTGCTTATAGAAACGATGGATACAAAAACACATTACAAGAAGTTACAATAAAATGACATAGACAATAATGTCATAACAACTAAATTTTTGTTCTGAAAATAACAACTAAAGTTGGAGAGAGCAGCATGAACATGTGTGACAAGCAGCTTTACTTAGTACTACAGAAAATATAAGTTTTTTTAGTTAAACTAAATATGTTACATCAAGCATAACATAAAATTTCGAAAAATGTAACACTACAATATGATGGCTTTCTTCGTGTAAATAACTATTCACCAAAGGAATTCAATAAATCCCTTATTACACCAAAAAAAAAACATTTCGTAAAAAAAAAAGAAAGTATGAGAGAAAACTATATCGCAGTTTCTTTGTCATTCATATATATTCTTTCCCATCCAATTAGAAGAAAAAAAAAATTGTAAACAAACATAATCCAAATAAAATTAAAATAAAGAAAAGAAAATTAAAGGGTAAGAAGATATATAGTCACCTTTTTGAGAATTTGCGATTTGAAACAATTGTATATTCTTGAATACTTTCAAGAAAACCTCTCACACCCAAAATCTTTGGGGAACTTGAAATTATCTGAATTTTCTTCGTCATTAATCCAACCATACTTCTCCATAAAAGGACTCAAAATCGATTTTGGAGGGTAATTATCAATGCAATGATTCCACACATTCCCTAAAGATTCTCCAACATTTAGATCTCTCACAACTTCCCAAACGCAACTATTGCACTTGAAACCTGCTCCAAAGCTTATCATCAACACTCTATCTCCTCTCTTGAGCCTCTTCTTCGCTTCCATATACCCCAAAACATACCACAAGCTACTCGCTGACGTGTTCCCAAACCGGTGTAGCGTCATCCTCGCCGGTTCTAGATCGTACTCGGTTAAGTCGAGGCTGTGACCGATTGTGTCGATAACCGCTTTACCTCCCGTGTGAATGCAGAAATGTTCAATACCGGTCTTGAAGTTAATCCCTGCCTTTGGAACTGCCTGAGCCACGTTTGACGCTGCGGAGCCTTTGCTAGGGTTTCCACGAAGCTTCTTGAGAAGAAGAAATAACACAAACCTCAAGATCTCTGTTACTGGAAGAATCTTGGGAGTGATGACTTTGAGGTTGTCTGCAAAAGCACGAGTCGCCGCTTTTGGTAGAGTCTTGTCTAAGTAGACACCGACTCGTCCTAGCTCGTCTTCTTTTTGGACACAGGCGTTGAACGAATCATCTCTAGCTCCATGGTGCGTCCTTACCAAACACTTTAGCTTGAACATGGCTCTATGGCTCAGACTTCGCTTGTTCGTCAAGAGAACCGCACAGCCACCTGAGCGGAACAAGCAGTTGGTTAAGATCATGGACCGGTTGTTTCCAGTGTACCAGTTAGGACTAAGTGACTCAGAGGTCACAACAAGAGCAAGCTTGTTCTTGTATGTTTTGAAGATGTTCTTGACAATATCTACAGAGATAACACTCGCGCTACATCCCATGGCCGTCAAGTTGAAAACTTTAATGTCTTCTCTCATTTTGTAATGGTTAATGATTCTTGCGGCTAGTGAAGGTGTTGCGTTGAGCATTGAGACGTTGACTACGAGGACGTCGATATCGGAGGCTGCGAGTTTGTTTCTCTCGAGTAGTTTCGCGATGGTGTCTATGTAAAAATCTTGCATCTCCAAGATCCCATCTTGTATCGTAGGATGCTCTTCACGACCTTCAAAGTAGACCTTTGGTGCGTAAGTTTGCTCTCCGATCCCGGAACTAACGATGGCTCTGAGGAGGAACTTATACTCACTAAGTCCAAGGTGTTTGTTCCGAGCGATGATCTCACCGCTATATTGAGTGCTCAACATACGATCATCTGAGGGTTTGTGACATTGATAGTCCAAGATGTAGCAATTTTGATCTCTCTTGGAGTCTATGTGTTTCCAAATCTTGAAAATG